GGCCAGGGGCGGGCCGGGGGCCCCCCCCCCCCCCAGTGCACAAATTTTTGTGCACCGGGTCTCTAGTATACAATAAAATTCTCCATTCATTGGCCAATGTCTTTACCACTGTCCTTTTACTTAAACCACAAGAATCTCTTTTCCATAACCAAATAAAGACAAAAATAAGCAGAAAGTTCTATGAGAGGACCAGCTGTTTTGGCCTAGTGTAGCGGTTCTCAACCTGTCGGTCACGACCCCTTTGGCGGTCAAACGACCCTTTCACAGGGGTCACCTGAAACCATCCTGCATATCAGATATTTACATTATGATTCATAACAGTAGCAACATTACAGTTATGAAGTAGCAACGAAAATAATTTTATGGTTGGGTCACAACATGAGGAACTGTATTTAAAGGGCCAGAAGGTTGAGAACCACTGGCCTAGTGGGTCAAAAAAGGTGAATAGAGGTGACCTTTTAATCATGTCTTGAGAGGCAGTAAAGGTAAGGTTATGGAAGTGTGTCAGTGAGTCTTAAGGATTCGGGGGCATGCTGCTTCTGTGTACAACCTCCTACACCATGGATACAGGTAGCAAAAGGGCTGAGGTTGGAACCTTTCAGCCCCGAGGACAAAGTTAGAAAGATATGCTGGATATTTAATAACAGATTCAAGACTTCGAGTTCATGGGACAATAGTCAAGACTTACAGTTTAATTGGATTCAACAAACACTTATTGGGGACCTTAACTTAAGTGGTAGACTTGGCAAGGTTTTTTTTTTTTTTTGGCCTTATCAAAATTTGTGAGCAAAACACTGCAGATGTTAAGTGGTTTTAAGTCACAAATACTTAAATTATACAAGTATATATTACTTCTACCTTGAGGAAAAAATATTTAATCATTGCTCGACTCATTTCTAAATTTACTGCCTACTTTTTTGGTTTACCCGAAGTTCACTTCTAGTTATGATTACATTTATACAACTTGGAAATGGAAGATGTGATGACCATTTTATAAAAAAAAATAAATTACATTAGAAAAAGGGTGGACTATTGTATAATGCTAAATCAATTTTTAGAATCTCATGATACATTTGACTACTGTTATGGACTTAAAGTGTACCCCTCCAAAATTCTTATTGAAGCCCTGATACCCAGTATGATAGTACTTGGAGATGGGGCCTTGGGAGGTAATTAGGTTTAGTTGCAGGCACAAAGGTAGGGCCCTCCATGATGGGATTAGTGTCCTTGTAAGAAGAGGAAGAGAGACCAGAGCCTTTCTCTCCCATGTGAGGAGCCAATGAGAAGGCAGCCAGCAAGAGAAAGGGTCCTCAGCAGGAAGTGAATCTGCCAGCACCTTGATTTTGGTCTTCTTAGCATCAATAACTGTAAGAAATAAATGTCTGTTGTTTGAGTCATCCAGTCCATGGAATTCTGTCGTAGGAGCCCAGCTCACTAAGACAACAAGCAATTAATAGAAAAGTACCCTTTTATTGAGAGATAAGACAAGTGTATTTACAATATTCAATGGTTTGATCAGACAGTCTGACTGTGAGACTTTTTTAAAGCAGCAGTATTCCAGGAATTACAATTTATAAGGGGAAAAGAAAAACATTCCAAATAGGTTTCTGTTACAGAAAATACATTTGAACAATGACAGATACTTTTAAGGCTAAGTAGAATTACACCTTTTCCTCCATCTTTATAGCAATATTCTTTTCTTTTTTTTGTCATGAAGACAGAAGGCTAATTTTGGAAAGGAAAAATCAACATGGTTTAGAAAAACTGAAATAGTGGAGGACTAGTATGTTTAAAAATAGAACCTCCTCAATGGTTCTGAATAAGAAACATACAATGCTGCCATGCAGTCCCAAACTCACGTTTGAGATTAAACATGGTCTCCATAAAACTGAAAAACTGCTCCAGCCTCTCAATCTTACTAAGGACCAGTAGATTAATAAGTCCTTGACACGCTTCTGTCTGATAATGCTTTCTGAAATAAGATTGTTGAAAAGAGATCTCTGTTACTTTGCAAAGAACATTTTGGTAGAAATTCATGTCCACAAAAGAGTTAAATAATACAGATGTTCCTTACATTAACAGATACTATTTTGCCCTAAAAAGGTAGAATGATCTAGTCTTTGTAAATAGTATGGGTCAGTCAAAAATATGTTTAACACAGTCCTACAGGGAAACTTGTGTAAGTCAGTCCCCAAAATATATTTGACACTCTCCAAGTGAGGATTTTATTCTTTTGAAGAACATTAGACACACTACTAAATCTCTTAATATTCCATGAACTATTGAGGTAGGAGTCTTATTTCATCAATATCATCTAGATTTCACAGATTATACCTTAAATCATATGCCAGTACCAAAAGACAGTAATCCACAAGACTGAACCATTAGGTTATACACCAAGTCTGTCCTTCTTTAAATGAGCAAGGTTGGGAATTCTCTGTGCATCAAAAGATTTAACTTAAAAGTAACATAAGGTGTAATACATTTTGTAGACATGTTTGTAAATAAACCCACAAATTTCAATTATGATTTCATGTATTAAAAAGCTTTACTGTTAAAAAAAAAAAGTAAATAGTGCACTCATTAGTGGTAAAACAAATAGTACTATGGCTGCTGAAATGTGTTCCTATATCCACCACACAAGTTGCCACCGTGGAAAACTACTAATGAAGAAACAACCAGTTTCTTTCTGCCTGTCAAGCAGCAACGGTAGAAAAGAACAACACATCATTTTTTTAGTGTCATATTTTTAAGAAATAATAACCAGTTTAATTACAGTAAAACAGCCTCAGCATGTGAACTCAGATATTTTCTCTATGACTTAAGATGAAGAGTGATCATATGAAGCATACCTATTGATTTTTGTTATGAAAAAGCTGAAAATAAGGGGAAACTCAGCTTACATGAATAGCCCTTAAAAAATAGCTGTAAGTTGAACCTTTTAACATGTTATGTCTTAAAGTAAACATTACCAAGTTAGTTATTTTAGTTTGTAAAAAACATAATAAACCACTGCTAATTTTTTTTTTTTTAAATAGAAGAAAAAAAAATCTACATCATGACAGGAAAATCCTTTTGGTTTGCAATTAATGTTTTAAATAACACCCTATTCAATGAAACAAGCTACGTAACAGACTACTTCATTGTCAAGAATGCTTTTTGTTAAATGCCTATATGTAACAAATGATACAAATACAGTCTTAAGACTCCCAAGAAGTAAGAGTATTTCCAGAGTGTGTTGCTGACCAAAGAAGTGCATAGTCAGCTATAATTTAGAAACTAAAAGCTAGTAAAGAATGACCTTTGCATACTCCAACAGAGAATATCTAGTTCATATTTTCATCTGGCTTTAAAATATTAAGACTCAGAAGAATCGCAACAGTTTTATCTTCACCATGTTTACCATAAAAAGTGATCCATATATCAAAACTGGGTTTTCC